AAATTACCCGTACCTACGCGAACTTCTGGTTCAAAATTCCATTCTCTTTCGTGTGAAATCTGATTACCTTTCAATTCTTCTGCTTCAACTCTTAACTTTTCCATACGCTGCATTAAGTCAAGAATTTCGGAATCTTTACCGTCAATTCTGACACCAACTGAATGGATTAATTTCTCTTTCTCCTCAAGCGTTGCCTTAAGCTTACGTTCCCTACTCAAAGCTGATTTCAAATCTTTTTCCGCAACAATTTTCGCATTATATTCCAGTTTACAATTGACTTTCAACTGTTCAATTTCCAAAAGCAATTTCTTCTCATTTTCTTTGAAGATAGCTAAAGCCTGCAAATTACTCGAACCAAGCGATTTTGACGCTTCTGCCTTAACTTTCTGCAAATGTTCATTTACTGACCGCAACTGAGCACTGAGCTCCTGATTTTCCAAAATTAATTTCGACGACTGAGAATCTTCCTCCTCAAGATCGCGAATACGTTTTTCATTCACCTGACACTTACTCGAAAGTGCACGAACATTTTTCTCATGTTCTGCATTACTTGCCTGAACTGTCAATAACTGCTGCCTTAAGGCCGAAATATCACCGTGCAGTTTATTTTTCAATTTATCATCTTTACTCAAAATTTCGTTCAACCGATTAATTTCGTCGCTATTTTGCAATTGCCTAAGACACAATGCAACATAATTTTTCGTACACCGAATCATAGTACCTAATGAATCACGAGTGACTGCTAATGCCTCTTGCTCCGATTTAGAAGCTTTCAACTTAGCGTCAACCTCACTTACTTCTTGCGCAAATTCCTGATTTAAAGGATTAAAATCATTTTCGAAAATGAAATGCCGCAGATCTGACTGTAGTGGATGCAAAAGATTATTCACACTTTCATCAAACGGAATATCTTCATCCAACAATGACTTTTCACCATTAAATGCCGTATTATTTTCATCGTCTGAATTTTCAGAAAAAAAAGTTCCTTCTCTCATCGTAATATTACCAAAAAGATTACTGCCAACCGCATTATTATTCTGATCATTGTTCATAGCAACCGCGCGTTCATCGCTAACTTGAGCCGCTGCACTACGTTCTCTCGCCCCATTGGACGGAGTTACAAAATTCCCTACCGCTGCTGAATTCGAATTTTCAACTGTATTTCCAACTGCTTCTGTATTTAACGACTGCCCTACTGAATGTGGATTTACCAGTTGCGACATCACCGATCTCCTCGGATCCACCACTTGATCTGGATTTACCACTGACGGAGTTACCTGTTTCCCAGGATAAACCGTCTCGCCTGACTGACTTGAAATTAACTGCATACTGGACAGAGTCATGCCATTTTTCTGTGCACTCGAAGCCGAACTATCTTCCAAGTCCAACAACGACTCACTTACCGCATTCCCAGAATTCTCAATAATTACCAAGGCGTTTAACGGCCCATCTGACATAACTATGGTATCCCGAGATTTCTTACCCGTACCTGACTCCTTTCTTTGCTGAACTTCTGCCTCGTACGCAGCAACATTCAAAGTCGCCCATTCTTTTGCTGCTTTAAAATCTGCTTCTGACATATTTAAGTAAGCTGACGGGATAGACCGTTCGTGCGAGAACCAAGTGCTATAGTAACTCGGAGCTCTTACCAACGTTGAATTTTTATCTTCCCAGTCAACCCATTGTTGACTGCAGTACGCGCTCTTTTTCTCCGGAGGTTCTAACCCTACTGCCCTATACATTAAGCCAAGGGGAACTTTCTTCGGAAACTGAAAACGAGTGTCAAACCCGCTTTCAACCGCTTTCGACTGCAATCTATCTGATTCGACTTTTCTCAATGGCCAAAAGCCATCTCGTTTCACAGTTAATTCTGCTAATTCCGACATTTTGTTTGCAATGCAACCGCGACTAAACCTTACCAATTAACTGGATTCGGATAGTGAAGGTTACACTGTTCCCGTTGATTGACGAATCAACCAACTCGTATGACCCACGGCTCTTGACAGAAATACACGTACGCTACTCAAAGCTGTGACTCCTGACAACACCGTTTCGTTAGGACGACGCTAACTCAATACCAACCTCCGCGGTACCGAAACAACACGTCCAAGAATCTCGTTGTTACAGCACGCACTCAAGCATGCGTAAATAACTCGTATTTATCCCGTTGCTACTACACGCACTCAAGCGTATGTAAGCGACTCGTATTTACAGCTGACCTTTAAGGTTTCAACTGCTAATCGTATTTATCCGCTAGTTACAACACTGTGACTGATTTCCAGTTAACAGTGACACTGCGTTACACAACAAGAGACAGCTATATCTGCTCTGTTGATTACCGAAAATTTTCAAAAATCGTAGTACAATGGCTACTCCGCTAACTCGGATACGCCATATTTATCACAATTCAACATTTTTACAAAGATTCAATATTAAAGAACGGCTAAAAATAGGTTGCGAATATTCGCACGTTTGACTTACAGTTTCCGATCAGCTAATTCTGCTGGTTCTGCCGTTCAAATTCACGTAGTCTTTCTGGCTTGCCCGGTTCAGAAAATAAAATGAAAGGAAATTTTGACCTCGAATGGTCTTACGGTGCTTTTTCAATAATAGACACGTAAAGTGCCGCATACACGAACAGTTTTCAAGTGCCTATACTGTTCTCAGTCCGTATTGTCACCCAAAATATATATCGCTAAGTGCGAATCAATCTATACATCAATCAAACCGGGGGACTCGGTTACCCTAGGTCAGTACTGGAACGCAGACCTCCTGCACCACACTAGTGGCTCCTAACGGACTTAATTAATGTGGGCTCTCTCGAGTTGACCACCAACCATCCTGCACCATCAATTTAATTGTACTATCAAATTAAATTAAACTTTCTGCTCCATCGGGAAAGTTTGAACCACGGTGGGCGCCATGTCGTGCAATACGGAATACGTAGAATAAAAATATAGGGTTTGCGGTGGAGATATGCACTTCCCAGACCACGACCAGTCGGAGGAATAGAGCGACTCTTAATCTCAACTTCTTATGTAATTCATGGAGCGAAAGGTTAAGGATGTTGATGTACAAGTATGAGATGATATGCAAGGATGAGAAGAGGATCCGGAACTCGAAAGCCTGCTGAAAGAGAAGACACGAAAGGAAACACAAGGGATGCGTGAAGTTATACGTTACCTGTCCGACGCTAGATGGTAGCCGAAGCGTATGAGTATGACAAATCCATCAACCTGGCGCTACAGGGCATGAAGATCGAAGGGACCGAAAGGTCACGGCAAACAAGTGGGATCAAGTGAGTAGCCTGTTACGTCACGAGACTATCCGAAGATGATAATGCACGTCGACGAAGTAGAGGAATGACCCCTGACAATAGGTGAAAGGTCACCCAGAGGTCAGTTTGAACAGCCTCACTTGGAAAGAGAAGACCAGAGCAAAAGCCTGAAGTTAATCAGATCGAGTAACAAGACTCTACTTTTGTTGGGATTATAACTCTTGACATTACAATGGGCGACGAGCGCCTTATATAGCCCTGGGCACCGCAAGTGCTGGCTCTTCGTACGCGCAGGTACGGGTCTGAGAACAATAGGGATTTAGAATCTAACCAATACACCGCTGCATCTTTACACGTGGACTAATGAGAACAAGAGGTCAGCTAGTACACTAGAACAATAGGTTGAGCTCGTTGACCGAAGCGCGGTCAAGTCGAAATGGCAAGTCGCGGTCAAAGTTCTCTGCTGGGGATTTCTGAGAAGTCGGAGTAGAGACTCGGGGTCATGACTCGCGTAGAAGTTGTAGTAAAGCCTAAGCCTTAGTAGTAGGGGTAGAAGTAGTAGAGTAGTACCGATGTGTACTAAGGGACGCCAGTACACGTCAACTTCTACCATATCAGCGTAAACAGAGGCCGAAAACATGCAAAGAATTAAAAAAAATAGATAGCCAAATTGCCGTCTGATTTCTTCCATGTTTATTAAGATTATAAGCGGATGTTTTTTTGTTAAATGTAAAGATTTGCTGTTCTGCGGCAGTACATATCGTAAAAAGCTACTCTTATTGATATCGACTTTCAAGCACCACAGTTAGTTTTGTTCAGGCTGTCAGAAAAATCCCTGAGTCAATTTGCCCAGAGGCATACCTAGGTACTGTGGGCTTACAATCTTGTGACAGTACCGTCACAAGAACGGTTAGCTGCAGCAGTTGTCAAACAGATTTCATTTTGTATTCATGTTGCACGTCCGGCGCTCGAAATATATCGCACATCACAAAATATATTGATAATAATGGGCAAATAGCAAAGATATGACTACAGCAACACAGTGTCACTGCTATGGAATTTGTAATACACCATACCAGACCTGTGCAGTTATGGAAAACTGACCCAGAGTTAGAGTTAGGAGTTATAGGGAGCGTGCGAGTTACGCTACGAGTTGCGCTATTAATGCAAGTAAACCGAGTTTCGAGTTATTCAGCGAGTTACGCTATCATAGACAATACATACAATTTTTGAGCGAGTTACGCTAGAGTTAAGTTTTCGGGGAGACGAGTTACGCTTCAGAGTTACGTTATAACTCGATAACTCGAAAATAACTCGCGTTACGTTAAATAGTTAAAAATAACTGCACAGGTCTGCACCATACACATTACCTTAATTAGCGTTTGCGTTTTGTATCAGCCTTTACGTCGGCTTCTAAGTACAGTAACACAAACTTTAATGAAATAAAAGCAAAGTGAGCTGAAAATTACAGACCATAAATCAAGTAAATCACGTTTTTTAGGTACGGTCGGCATGGTATTAAAAGCAAATTTTGCACTGGATGTTATAACAGCCGCTGGCGACAAAAATACTGTAATGAAGGAGCGTTAACGTGACGAACACGGGTGGTTTTTACTGCCCTTGGGAAATTTCTTTGCGCTGTAAACGATACACGTACGACGTCGCACATACCATATCCACATTTATCACCATGATAGCGCACAAATCAGTGACTGTACGGATAACTACATACATCGTTATTGCTGCAATATTTTTCCGTCGAGATTTCGTTTTTGTTCATTACTTGCTCTAGCTGTCTGAAAACACCGACAACCGAGTCAGCACAGACTGCAGGTGTGCGTACGGTGCAGATGCCTCCCCAATTTTCATGTGCTAAAATGGATGTTTAATTGCAGTCATCTTTATACAACAAGCAGCCAAATGGAAGCAGTATCTAAATAGTAACAAAACCTAACAAAGATCCTTCTCGACAATAAGCATGAGTTGGTGTATCCGGTTCTGCTTGTTGATCATCAGCATTTTGGTGTACCATGATGTCCAGGAGACACACACTGATTCCACGGATACCAGCGAAATGGTGGAAGTGTTCCGCGATGACTTCAACGGCGATATGTTAGGCTTGGACTGGGAGGTTATAGATAAATTGCTTCCTCCTCTCACGTATCCACCGGCGGACCGGCAAAATATTCGTCTGCTGAACGGAGAGCTGCGATTACGTGCAGTGGGGAAGCGGAACGACTCGAATACCGTGTATACTTCCCTCATCGCGAGTACACTATGGCAGTTTCAGTTTAAGTACGGCGAGATGACAGTGCGGGCGAAATTCCCCGCATATGGATCTGATGTCTTAATCGGTCTGTACGCTTGCGAGCGTACGCTTACATCAAATGCAAGCTGCGCGGTACCTCCTAAGCCGTCTTTATATGTGGGATATCGCGCATCGTCCGCCTCAAAGAATTTGCGGGGCTCCGTAGATTATGTAGACAGGAACGAAGCTAGAAGGAGGTCTTATGGTTTTTACAAGTAAGGCGATTTTGTTTTCACCGTGATGCGTATCGGGTGTCTAGCTCACGGTCGTTTGCAGCGATAAAGACCTATCTCTCGATTTCCACACGCATAAGCTGGTGTGGACCAGCGAAAAATTAGAATGGTACGTGGATGAACGGTGGGCCCTGAATTTAACGGTTCCGGGACTGTCCACGTGGCCGACAATGTACGTCCGCCTGTCAATACACCCTCGACTTCCTGAAAACACTACAACTGCAAATAACAACCTACCTGACGAGTTTCGCGTGGACTATGTTAGCGTACGGCAAAAACGCTCCCCATCTACGGATGCAGTAAAACGTAAATCACGTTTTTTTGCGTTCAGGAAATCTGGGAATTCAGGCCTCGACTTTCACGTAAAAAGTTGTTTAATGGTACTTATTTACAATCAACCGCATTTACAATCAGGGCCGACCGTAATGCTAGGAGTTGTTCATTTTTTTTCCGGCAAATTTTTTTTTGGGTTGTACGTTGTACGGCAACTGCAATCGCTCACGCCTTGGGAGTTTTGGATTAAAAGCTTAAAAACCAACATTTTAAAAAGAAGCTTTTTCTCGACACGAAAAAGCGGAAATTCGAAAATCGACGGTTTCTAATAAATTTAGCAGTTTAATAATAACGGTTGAGGTTAAATGTAAGGGTTCCGCGCAGAGATCTTTACATGTTATGTCTAAAGGAAAAACATAGCTGCAACTTTATGTAACTGAAGTAAATTGAAATTAAGTTGTTGGTATCAAAGGTTGTTTTCCAACTTTCCCGTCTTTTCGCAAGCGAATGCGTAGTTTCTACTCAAAATTTCCGAAGTATGAATGCCTAAAGGTGAAATACAAATTAAGAAAAATAATAGGTTGGCAAAAGTTTGAGGGGAGTCCCGAATACGGTAGGCGGTCAGCGTAACATTACCGTTTATTTTGCGAGAGCAGTACTACAGTATTACATTAAAAAGCCCTATCACTATCTTCTGTCATTCGCCCCATTTGGGATATGCACCTAAGACAATCGACCGTCAGTAATTTTAATCCCTAAATTTTTCAGTTTCTGCTGTGCCGCTCACTTTGGGAATCGTACTCCCCATTGTCGCCCTAACGGCCGCTGTTGTGCTGTGCTGGCTTGCATTTCGACGATACAAAGCCAAAAGCTTTGGTCACTATGACGGGACATTTCCTCAAAGCACTCATTTTCTAAGCTCGACGCAACGCTTACACGATATATCGCAGCTGGATTACGGCTTGATTGTGAGGGATTTAACATCGCATCCCCGTATTCGTCCGTTAATCATTCCTTCGGTCGGATTGCAGTTGGGTAAGTTACGAAATATGAAAACGCAAAAATACCGACTAGCCCTGGACGGGTACACCGTCTAGCGGTCCAGCAAATAGCCCAGTCTGATTTTGCTGCCTGCTTCCATCCCGAACGTACGGCGGAGGATTTTGCGGCTCTAGGACGTTTTGGATGGTTTGTTGGTCAAAACGTATGTCGGACGTTTAAGACGTCAGGACGTTCAAGAGGCTTACACATGTAGACTTGTAGCCTCCTTCAACCTTTTTTTGCGTGTAGGGCAGCTTCAAATGATTAAAGTCAAAACTCTACTCTAGTAATCTGTCCGGGCATTTTCCCGTTTATCAGTTAGTGCGCTCTGTGCATGCAAAAGCAATCAGTTACTCCTACAAAGGTTTTTTTTCAGCCGAGAATATCCTGGCGAGCACTGCCACAAACATCACGCGGGACGGATACGCTGTCGGTCTTTGTCCACCAAGTCAAGGCCCGAACGCAAGAAAGGTTATGGTAAAGAGCGCGCTATTGCCGAATAACCCTTCACATGTTCGGCCACTCGTTCGCGAACTTGAAACTTTAGCCAATGTTGGACGCCATTCAAACATCATCCAGGCACTTGGAGCTGTATTAACAGGTATATGCTGGAAAACTCTGGGTGTCGTTTTGCTGGCGTAATCCTAATTAATTTTATGGTTTGATGCTTGTACAAGACGAGGTTCTGATACTGTTGGAATATTCTGCGTTGGGATCCCTAACAAATTTCCTGCGAAAACGTTGCCGGGTAGCTTTTACTAACCTGGTGGATTCAAGTGGAAATATTATTCCGCGGCAGAATTGTCCTACAACCCAATCGACTGAGGAAGATGTTGTTCTGGGCTCCGTATCTCTCGAGAATGTCGCGCCGGAAGATCGTGTGCCTTCGACGCATACGCTGTTGCGCTTTGCGTATCAAATCAGCCGAGGCATGGAGTACCTAAGCAACCAACGTATCATACACCGAGATCTAGCGGCTCGCAATATCCTTCTTTTCGAAGGAGAAGTGGCCAAAGTAGCCGGGTTTGGGATGTCCCGGCCGGGAACCGAATACGTTTCTGATGACATGCAGGTACGATATCAACGGACAGTAATTTAATTTAATATCGGACAGTAATGTAATAGTAATGTCGCCGCGCTCAGTCTTCACAACAAACCGCCAACCCGATACTTCATTGCCGTCACGCTCTACATTGTTCGTAACTTCGTATACAGCCGGCATCTGGTTAAATGCTTTACCCTCTGCTCACATTGGTTACCTTTTGGACGACGACACTCTTAAAATATCTGTGGGCCTGCCATTGGGAGTTGCAGTATGCGAGCCTCACGATTGTATGAAGTGCCTAAAACACGTCGATAAGTACGGACACCACGGCCTGTCTTGTGCATTCTCAGCTGGTAGACATCCACGTCACGGCGGGCTTAACAACATAGTATGCCGCGCTCTCGTTTCAGCTGGGATTCCGGCAATGCCGGAGCCACGTGGCACGTCGCATACGTCCGAACGACGCCCCGATGGATGCACAACCTTTGCCTGGCAGAGAGGAACATGCTTTAGCGTGGGATGTCACTTGTGTGGACACGGTTGCGCCGTCCCACATCAAGTCTACCGCAGCAAATGCAGGCGCAGCGGCGGTGGAAGCGGAAGAAAACAAGTACCGGCTCTATTTGTACCTAAGCGGCAGATACATTTTTGCACCGATAGCTTTCGAAACAATGGGCCCTTGGGGACCGTCCGCTATCGCAATTACCAAAGCTCTGGGCAAACGACTGGAGCAACACACAGGCGAAACCCGTTCCCATGAATTTTTACGGCAAAGATTGTCACTAGAGATTCAGCGTGATACCGCGGCATCTGTTATGGGAACGATGGAAGGAAAGGAAAAGTTTAATGAGATTCTGATGTTGTTAAAATGCTGATGTTTTGATATGTGTTCAAATTACGTTGTACCGCAGGTAAAATAGAACACATACAGCTATTGCACTTGTAGGAGGATCTGCCGGTGCGCTGGATGCCGCCCGAAGCCATGGCGGAAAGAATATTCTCTCTCAAATCAGACGTTTGGTCTTTCGGGATAATGGTGTGGGAGATATTCAGTCTAGGCGTGGAACCTTATGTTGGCACGCAGGCCATTCGCGGACGCACTATTGGTGACTTCCTAGCGGCATTGAGGGGCGGATTCCGTCTGGATATGCCACCAACTTGCCCATTGGTTATGTACGCTTTTGTACGAAAAACTTTCAAATGACATGACTGTAGATTGCGTCAAGCAGAAATAGCCTGGTCACTCAGGTAGTGCATTCTGATTTATAGGTACAAACTCATGACTCGGTGCTGGCAACTATCACCCAAAGATCGTCCGGAATTTGTTGAGATCAGAGAAAGTTTGCAAAACATCGTCGGCGAAGACTCGCGAGGGATATACCTTGGACTTCACTTCACGTAGAAAAAATCAAATAAAAAACTAAAGAAAAATTTATTTACAATTTATTGCTTAATCAGCCACTCCATTACTGCGTTGAATATCTTCTACAAACCATCAATTCAAGGATTTCATTCAATTAAAGTAATTAGAGGACTACGATTAGGAATACTACTATTTATTACTTCAGAAATCTTATTTTTTGCAAGATTTTTTGTGAAGGGCGCGATCAAACTAACCAAAGTGCTGCTAATAATTTTGTTAAATGTTAGAGGAAAACAGAACTGGCAATAAGTGTTCTTAACTCGCCAACGGAAGTTTAATTAATCACACCAGCGTATTATAAACAGTAGCGATATTAGACGAAGGAGAAATTCGGAAGTACTGACCAAGAGCTGCCGGTGATATAATTAATATCACTTCAATACAGCGGCGCACTTATGAAAGATCACAATACGCTGCTCGAGTAGTTTATTGTATCGGTTTGTATGTACTGTAGCTCATTTGCAGTCGAAATAGTGCGGCTGGCTTTTTAGGCTACGAGTGCTGTATACACACTACACAGTGTGGTGCACGTGAATTGAACTTGTAGCAGGTAGGAAAAACTGCTATCGAAAAAGTCGGAAATTCGCCGGAAGGATTTTTTGACTGGAAATAGCATAGCATGCATTTGAGGAGGATACCGTACAGGCCGGAACCAGTCTTCACTGTGCCTTAGTCGTGTATTCTCCGGTCCATCACTAACCTACATGTATACAGTATATGTACAGAATACAGATCATGTACTGTACTTATCGAGATGAAATAAATAACTTGAAAGAACAATAATCGTATTCACTTTTAGAGTAGTATATGGTGAAATATTTTTGTCCACGCAAACTCTGCTTCCTTATGCCACCCAGATCAGTCATGTATCTCAGTGCTTCGTCCATCGTTCATCGAGATTTGGCCGCTCGTAATATCCTCATTTGTGAGGGAAATGTGGCCAAAATATCCGACTTTGGATTGGCGCGGCAAGGCTCAGAATGTGCTATCCCGGAATGTGTCGTGAATTACTAGTTTATTGGCGAGCTCGCTACTATCGCATACTGACTCCGCATATCGAACTGCATCAGCTGACAATACATAAACATAACAGTCGTTGCTACGTGCTACATCTCCCCCAGTGGGTTGCCCACTCATAAAACCATCAACAAAATAAAAAAGAAATATTACATTTCATTTATCAACAGTTTTGGGGCTTTTCCGGCGTTCGTTCTTCCAGTTCTGCGTAATTCCTCCGGTGGCTGTGCAGGCTTCGCAGCTTTCGGTGGTTTCACCTTACCGGATGGTAGAACTGTCGGCTGTACCTTTGGCGGCGCGACTGGTGCCGTCAGCGTCAGTTCCTGTGTGATGGGCGGAAAAGTTGGCTTCACTTCCGGCTGTACCATCACCTCGGGCTGTGGTTTAACCTCCGATTGCGGCTGCGTTGGTGACGTCGGCGTGCGCGCTCTGGCAGGCGAGACCGTCTTCTCCATTACTTTCGTCGGAGGAAATGTTACCGATGTCTCCACGGCCGTTTGACCATTCCCGGTATCTGCTTCCGTGTGTTCCGGCGTCTCCAACCAAAATCGAGGGCGTATTTGGTTTGCATGTCGCCTCCACAGCAGATCGCTCGCACCTCCCAAATCAGCCGGCTTTCGCGCTTAATCAGCTTGCCACTGATCCAGTCCACTGCACGGCTTGGGCGATAGTCTCGCACCAGGACCAAATCACCCAACCGGAAGTCTTTCTTCCTTGTGTGCTGGTCGAAGTTTCGGCGGTGGCGCTCCTGTTCTTTCTGCCGTGGTCAGCAGCACAGGGACTAGCAGATCCAGCGTCGAGCGCATCTTCCGACCAGAAACAGCTCGGCTGGCGTTTTCCCAGTCGTTGCGTGAGGCGCGTTACGGTAGCGCCAGAGGAACTCCTCAGCGCAACCGGCAGGCGCTTTTGGTCGGCCATGAGCTTGGAGACGCCGTCCTTCACCGTCTGGACGTAGCGTTCCGCTTGGCCATTCGATTGGGGATGTCCCGGTGGCGTCCGAAAATGCCTAATGCCGTATTGCTGGCAGAATTCGCTGAACTGCTCGGACGTGAACTGTGTGCCGTTGTCTGACACTATCTCAGTACATGGCCCGTAGTGGCTGAACATGTCCAGCAAAGCCTCAATCACTGCGTCCGTGGTTGCATGTCGCATCGAGACCACTTCCGGCCACTTGGACATGCCGTCGACCACGACGAACAACATCGTGCCATGGAACGGTCCGGCGAAGTCAACATGGAGTCGTCTCCATGGTCCGACGGGCACTGGCCACTGTGACAGCGGGACCTTCGCCGTTTCTCCAGCACGTTCAGTGCATATACGGCACGCTTTGGACACCCGCTCCACGTCCCGGTCCATGGACGGCCACCAACAGTACCCGCGGGCTTCACCCTTCATCTTTGCCGCTCCAAGGTGGCTTTCATGCAGGTACGACAGTATCTGCGCTTGCAGCTTCTTCGGAATCACCGTCCGGGTGCCCCAGCACAGACACCCGTTCACTGTCACCAGTTCACTTTCTAGCCGCTTATACGGTCGCAGCCCTTCTCTCACGACGCTCGGCCATCCAGTCTGGACGTAATCCAGAACGATGCTGAGCTCCGCATCGGCGCAAGTCTCCTTTGCCACAGTTTCTACCGACACTGGTAACCGTCCCGCGTTCTCCGTGTGCACAGCATTGACTATGCTGTCCATTCCCAGGTTACCCAACTCGGTCAGCTCCGTGGAATGCAGTGGTAATCTGCTTAACCCGTCCGCCTGGCCAAACTCTTCTGTTCGCCTATACTCGATGGCAAAACTGTACGCCATCAGCATCAACGCCCAGCGCTGAAGGCGGTTCGCGGTCACCACCGGTATCCCTTTCGGCCTCAAACACGCTCAGCAGCGGCTTGTGGTCCGTCAGCAGGGTGAATTCCTCCCAGCAATATACTGGTGGAATTTCTTGCACCCGAAGACCAGGGCGAGAGCTTCCTTCTCAATCTGCCCATATCTGGTCTCGGCGGCGTTAAGGCTCCGGGATGCGTGCGCAATCGGTCTTTCCGTACCGTCCGGGAACCGATGACACAGCACCGCTCAATGCCGTACTGCGATGCGTCGGCTGCTACAATCAGCGGCATCGCCGGGTCGTAATGCACCAAGAACGTGGCTCGGGCAATCTCCTGCTTCAGCTCCGCAAACTGCTCTTCGCATTGTTTTGACCACGCCCAGGTCACGTCAGCTTTCAGGAGGTTGTGGAATACATGGCACTTCGCTGACAGATTCTTTACGAATTTGGCATAATGGTTGACCATGCCGAGAAATGCGCGCAGTTCACTTACGTTCTTCGGCGGACCCATATCCAGCAACGCCTTCACACGATTTCTCGAAATGTGGCGGCCACGACTGTCACGATGAAGCCCAAATACTCCACAGACAGCTGCATGAAATGACACTTGCTGCGCTTCAGCGTCAGTCCGTGTTCTGTCAACCGCGCCATGACCTTTTCGAGGTTTCGCAGGTGCTCTTCATCCGTGGCGCCGGTGACGATGATATCGTCCAGGTATATGGCCACGCCTTCGCAACCATGGAGAATCTGCTCCATGATTTGCTGGAATATGCTGGGCCCACTGGCGACGCCGAACGGCAGTCGGTTATACCGAAACAGTCCCTTGTGTGTATTAATCACCACAAGCTGTTTACTGTCGTCGTCCAGTTCCACTTGGGCATACGCCTCGGCGAGATCCAGGGTACTGAATTTCTCTCCGCCGTTTAACTTGGCGAATAATTCGTCAGGCGTTGGGGCGGATACTTCTGAACGTCTAACGAGTCGTTCAGACCAGTGCTAGATCGGCACACGTTCGCACATCTCCAGCCCTCTTCAGCGTCCCCACAATGGGCGCCGCCCAATCGGCGTGTTCGACTGGAGTGAGTATGCGCGCTCCACCAAACGCTCCAGGTCCTTCTCGACCGCCTCTCTGAACGCGAAGGCACTGTACGGGGTTTGCAGAACACTGGCCGTGCCCCGGTTTCAAATGGAACGCGCCTTATACCGCTTGCAGTGACCCAACTCATCGCGAAACACTTCCTTGTGCCGGTCGAGGACTTCCTCAAGACTGCTGGCTACGCTGTACACTGCACTGGCCTGCAGGTCGCGTAGGCTCATGTGGCTCAAATCCAAGGCGCGTATCCAGTCGCGGCCGATCACATCGCCACCACGGCCCACTACCACCACCGGCAACTGCTTCCGTACACTAGCGCGTTGTACGTCCACTGTGGCGGTTCCGATCACTGTCAGCGCATGGCCAGTGAAACTCCTCAGCGGCTGCGTATACGGTGACAGTCGCGGCGAACCAATCCCTCCTCCACGTCTCCGCCGTGACGATGGTAACGCCCGATCCCGTATCCAGCACTGCTGACACTAGCGTGCCGTTCAACTTCAGCGGTATGCGTATGGACTGGCTGCCAGCAGCTTCCACTGCCAACACGTCGAACTCTTCTTCGACTAGCATTGTGCGTCGTCCGTCTCCACGCTGCTGGTTCTGTCTGGGCGCAGTGCAAATCTTCGCAATGTGACCTTTCTTGTTACAATTGCGGCAGGTGACATCTTTCGCCCAACAGTCTGCCCGGACGTGGCCCGAATTGCCGCAGCCGTAGCACTTCGCACCACTGCTCGCCGCGGCCTGGCCTGCTCCGCCGCCACGCGCTCTCTGTCCCATACCACGACGATTTCCGCGTTGACGATTTTGGCCGCCGCTCCGCCTCAGCCCACCACTGATGCCTGCTACATCCACACCGCCCGGCGCCTTCTTCGCGCTAGCCTGGGATAGCTCGAACTGTTCCGCCAGCTCCAGAGCTTTATCCAGTGTGTCGTAGTCCTTCGACATCAGATGTCGCCTGGTAGCCTCTCCTGCAGCCCGTTCAAAAGGTCGCTTTCATGTTGTCCTCCAGAACGTCTGCCGGAAAGCTACACAGGATGGCCTTTTGCGGAGTTTATTGCGAAATCCAAAGAGTTTCGCCCGTATCCTGCTTCAGTACAAAGTACTTGGCCCATTCGGTGGATTTCAGTGTCTTCTTCACGTATGCCCTTTCGAGTTTAGCGAGAACTTCGCGAGTGTCTTGTCGGCTGGATCGTTCGGCAGGCACATAGCGTGTACCATTTCATAGGCTTCCACACCTAATGAATCCAGTAGAACCCTTCTGCTCCTCTTCGTCGGTGACCTTCTGGAGTTTAATGAAGTTCTGGTACCGTGACCTCCAAGACATCCACGCCATCTTGTTGGGCTCGAACTTTAACAGGATAGGAAGCGTCGTTTCGTCCGTCATCGTCGTGAATCAGCGCGTGATAAATTCGTAAGAGTTTTTAGTATCTCATCCTTCACGCCAGTTTGTCGTGAATTACTAGTTTATTGGCGAGCTCGCTACTATCGCATACTGACTCCGCATATCGAACTGCATCAGCTGACAATACATAAACATAACAGTCGTTGCTACGTGCTACAGAATGTAAGGTAGGAATCACCCCGTTGCGGATTTATCATCCTGAGGGTAACAAAACTCCAAAAAGTGTAAATGCGATCAGGTGTGCCAAAATTTATAGCCTTCTTATAATTTTGCATGTAAACGCGCATGACCATAAAAATTTATTCTTTACACTTATCCAGACCTCCCTAAATGTTTTCAACTGCTCAAACGAATTAAAAAATTATTGAAACTCGTTTTAAAATATAGAAGCGTGGTAGTAGGATATCATAATTACTTGTATTTTTCAGCATTTACCATCATCTCGAGAGCAGTTTTGCGTACTTTTATTGTATTTCTGAGCTGCAAATTAGATAATAAAATGTTGACCGTGACTTTCGGCCATTTTATTTTTGCAGTTACGATTTATTGTGCGAATGTTGGAAACTTTTGCCCGATGACCGGACGAACT